AACTTTTAAAACCACCAATGTGCTGCTTTAAGGTTACAACATTCCCAGTGTATGTTGTAATTCACACACACACGCACACACACACACACACACTCACAACTTAACCTCATAACGTAATGGAGTAGGCTGGATTGCCCACGCTGACATAAAAATGCAGCAGGACCCAGAGAAGCACTCCACTCTGACCAGAAGTCCCCTGATAGCGTTACCAGACCCGGATCTGGTGTGTGCACGGAACAAGTATATGTGTGTTAACCATGTCCTCTGACACACATGCTCTCCATCATGCAAGAACACACACACACACACACACACATATTCAGCTGTCACATATCGACAGTGGTGGAGGAAGTACTCAAACATTTTACTCAAGTAATGGTACAAATATTATAGTATCTCATTAACTTTTCTACTTGAGTAAAAGTTAATAAATACTACCTTTTAAATATACTTAAGTATTAAAAAGTATAAAGTTAAAAACTATAACTTCTACATCATTAACTGTGTCCACTGTATTTGTTGTTTAATACAATAACAGCACAGACTGTCCTGTATTTCATTTAAATGACATATTCATTCTCATGGCAAACAATGTACAGTGTTGTCTATTCCTTTGCATGTAAAGCTGTCAAACTTGCACAAATACACACACAGACACACAAATACACATGCTCATACACACTCGAGCCCAATCAGCTGCTGTCAGCTGGATACTGTCAGAGGGTTAAGATGGGGGTTGGACAAAAGAATACGGGAGGGAGAGGAGGAGGAATGCAATCTTCATCTTACAAGTTGTTCTGCAGGAATGTCATTAGCTAAGTGAAAAATGGCTACGTGTGTATCTGAGTGTCTGTGTTAGTGTGGTGGGTGGATGTGCTGATGTCTGCATACCTGTGTGCGTGGGAGAAAATAAAAAAGCATCTATAAGTGTGTCCCTGAACACTGAGTCACTACCTGTTGTGTGTGTGGATGTGGAGTCCAGAGAACTCTTTAATGTTGTAGATTAAGTAGAAACTGTGTGCTGATCTGAAGTGACATTTACACATCATGTCCTGTCTCCTGCGTTCCGCCAGCCCTCGTCTGAATGTTCCAGAGATTTTCTTGTTTTTGAGAAAGTATGACTCTCAGCGAGCCCGAGCATTAAAGAGCTCCCTAAAACAATACCCAAAACATTTAGTTCCCAGCAGCGCCCTGTGTACACTCATAAATGCTAAAGTATGTTCAAATTATTGGCCCTGGGTCTGATCTCATCTCAGATTTAGCATGGTTTAATATTTCATTATATCCCTTCTGGCTTACGGGGCTTTGTCACAACAGTGTTCTGCATGGCTCAGCACATATACACACACAGGCATGCACACACACTCTGCGCCGCAGAGCCCAGTGAAAACAAAGCCGGGCTCTGCCAGTGTAAACACGGGCCATTGTTATGGGCACTCTTTTCCCGCCTCAAAATCTGCGCTCCCCATGGCGATCACAGGCCGCAGAGAGGTACAGCGCTGGCACGGCTCCCGCGCTGTGGAGTTAAATTAAGAGTCGCCAGGACTCGTTTGCCTCGCATTTATGTGACCGTGTCATTATAATGCAGACGGTGGAGTGTGATTTATGTGCTCGGTTTCTCTCCCTTGCACTCCTCTGTCTCTCTTTTACTGGTTCTTTTTTTATTGCCTGGCTGCTTATGTGTGGTTTGTGGCCATTTGCTTTAACTTTTTGACAATTATTTTTAGACGAGCAGAAGTCAATTTACTGTTCTGCACCCACTCTTGCTAACAAAGTAGGGAAACACAAGAAATGGCTGTTTGTTGGAGCAGGTAATGCATCCATCATGTGCATCTGCTGCAGCTGGTGATTATGGTGCACATGTACTTTTGTGTCTCAATCTGTAGCTGGGTAAAAAATGTCTGTATGTGAGAGTGTGTGTGTCGCATCACGGTGCCTCTCAGCTGTGACCTTGGGCCACATGTGCAGTCAATTAGGGCCAATCAGAAGGCTGTAATCAGGGCGTGGCATCGGGATAGTGGCAGCGTGGCAGTGGGGGGAGTTTTAAGACCTAAGATTAGTGCATCAGACTGAAGAGGAAGCACGGGAGGGAGCTGGCCGATCAAATTTCTTCATCGTGCTGCTTGTTCACCTTACTTACATGAGTTTATTTAGTTTGTGCCAACCAGACGTGGATCAAATTAAGTCTCAATTTCTTGAAATTTTAACCCTAGTTATGCGACAGATTGGTGCGGTTTGCCACATGACATGATGTAATTACGCTGCAGTGTTTAAGTGTAAGTTTTCCTCAGTGCAGCAAGGTAGAGACATCTAAGCTGATTGAAATAAAGACCAGAAATCATTTACTACTGCTATTAGGCTACATTCACATGAAAACAATCTCTGTCCAAGAGTTTTTGGCTCCGTATCAGTTTTAATCATCGCCCATAATACGTCTCAAAATGTGTATCGTGTGACCGCTCACGTACACTGGACATGCGATTCCCTGGACACGGGAATCGCTGCAGATTGCTCAAGTAATAGCTTGATTCTCCATGTTGTGTTCTACGCCGGTAGCAGAAGGGAGTCATGTTATAGGAGTCTGACAAATCGGCGAAGGCTACGTCATGACCAAAAAAAGACACAATCAGCAAGTGGTTGTGTCTACGTCATTGTTTCTAAACTTCTCAGTTCCTGCCCGTCCAGGCTAAAGCGCTGCCCTGGAGTTAGCACAGGGCCAGCACCGTTTCTAAACTTCACACACAATAAGACAGCAGCCGAAAAAGATCCTCTTCTTGTGTGTTGCATGTTCTGTATCACATAATAAGTCACAGAGTACGTCGGTCTGCCTCTGCCAGGCTCTTTCCTACTAGTTAATCAATAAACAGAGTGGCACTGGAGGCAGCTGCAGTTGTTCTTTAAATCCCATAATGATGGCAAAGGATTCAAATCTTTTCCGTACAATCCCCGTTGGCAATATCACAATAAAATCCAACATGTTGTACATTAGGGTTAAGCCTTCTATTATCTTCTGGTGTGCACTTGTCAAAAACTCCAATGGGAAGTTTCAGCGGTGAAACATCTGGCTGAGATTTGAGTTTTTTAAAGTTTTTATTGGCTGAAGAAATATGTATTGAACGTGTGTGTGTTTGAGTGCAGATTTAAAACGTTTCTCCACCCGCCGCTGCCTAATCTAATTTTTAAAGTTTAACCAGTCACTTAACATTCAGCTCTCAGTTGAGTAAGTAGCTCTGTGCAAAGAGATCATTTCTGTACTAGCTCGAAAATCACAAAAAAAAGCCTTCTGCAAAGTGCAATGCAGCATGTAGGTGTGTCATAAACATCATTTCTTCTTTAAGTATGTGCGTCTAAAGAGAAGCTGCCACGTCACGTATGGTCATGCAACCCCAGCCGGTGACGTGGTGCTGGTGTCTTATCCACATCATGAAAGTGAGATATTACAGGAATATGTTTCCTGTCAATCTCCAAGTCTTCTCGTTATTGCTCATAATTGGAAAACTCTTGTAATGTGTCCCAAGACAAAAGTATTATCCAGTGAACGGGAGCTTTGTCAGCTCTGCCTCGTCCTGCACTTTGATTGGTTCCTGGAGCGCTGCCACAGTCCGTCTCTGGAAATTTGATCCGCGTGTTTAAACAAATGGTCCTTTTTTTCTTTTTTTTTTTTACCTCAAATCACAAGTCACAATTTGACTATTAGTCCTTGTGATGTCACCAAAACCAGACAGCGGATATTTGTTTGTCTGATGCAATGAAAATGAAAACAGCAAAGCAAGCAGACAGACAGCTGGACAGAAGGTCATCTGTTGGGCTGTAAATCACCTACGATCCAACAGGGCAGACAAACACAGTGACCGGAGTGTGGCCCGGCCTCAGAAACCACATGTGAGCGGGCAGGAATGTAATAGCCCACTGCATTGTGGGTTCGTGTCTGGGGGGAAAGAGAGCCGGCTCCCTGACTCACAGGACACCGTGAGGTTGGGGGATGAGGCGCGGGCAGCTTAGCTTTCGGGAATCAAGAGTGCAAGGTCAGGGGGAGTGTGTGAATCACGACCGTTTCCTTCATAGCTCCTTACTCCTCCGTCATCATGTTGTCTGAGTAATTTTACTTTCATTTTTACAGCACTCGAGGACTCGAGGAGAAGAAGCCGCTAAGCATCAATTACAATTGATTGTACATGTGTGACAATTTAATCTGTGAGAGACTTCAATATTGAAATTTTGTAAGATTTCAATTTTATTGACATGATACATGTAAAATGTTATTTTAAATGAAAGTTAGCAGACTAATTGTGTTTGGCTCTATCAACCGAAAATGTAATGTGCTGGTGTCTGTTTGGGTTCTCAGTCGCAGGTTCAGACAAATGAGCTGACAATGACATTTGTTGCTGCCCTTTTCCTAAACTCAGCCCGGGCCGGTTATATTTGCACACAGACACATTTTTAGCCAAGTTGGATATTCATTCAGCTGTGTTTTAGTTATTTATAGAAGTTACAATCTTCATGTTGTTTTATCAGATGTTGCTGTTTTTAGTGGCTCTGATAAATCCACTGTTCACTACCTGCTCACCAAATGGGGACAGATTTATGGACTAGTTGGAGAAGTTAAAGAGCCATTTAATTGCCCTTTGAGTTGGCGGAGACCAAAAACAGAGCAAGAGGAGAGTGAATATTGGACTTTTATGTCTTAGGTGGTCAAAGCACACAGCTTTCAACAGATGCTAACATAGAACAGTGTGTGTTTAATGCATGAATAACAAACTGCTTGCAAAAGTGGTTGACTTCAAAAGAGTGATGATGATATTTCTGCCAATTTAATTAAATTAATTGGAATTTAAAAAACACCTAATCAAAAAAGACATAAGTGTCAATGAATTGTTTGGGTCTAGTGTGGAAGTAATTGTTTTATGTCTCATTCATATACTTATAATTCTCTTTTCTTTTCTTTGATTCCATCTTTCCCAACCTCCCCTCCTCCACTGCTTCTATTTCTCTCTTTTAAGTCCCAAAGAAGTTGCTCCAGGAGCAGAGCCCCAGACCACCGGTGTTCTCCCCACCCCCAGGTGCCCATGACCCCAACATAGTGGGAGACGGTCCTCCGGAGGGGAGCTCAGTGAAAAGCCCTGACGCTGTCCCAGGTGAGCGAAACGACAAACACACAAGCTTTCTTTCACTTTCTCTCTCTCTCACACACACACACGCACACACACACTGCCTCCCATGGAGAGCAGTTAACACTAAACAGTCATGAGGCCTCCCAGGCATCAAGAGGAACAGTGGGGTCAGGTCTCCAGCTCGGGCATAAATGTACGTATATTTAATGTCACACGAGTTTAACTGTTTCCATATGTATCCGAGCAGAGCCACTGCTCTGTGCTATTTATGATCGTAGATCTTAAAAATATACGTCTCTCCAAGACCCAATGATTGCACTTACATGTGACCACAGTCTAAATCAGTCTGTTATAATGTCAAGCTCCCAGAGAGAGAACAAGGGAGAAGACAGAGCGAGAACAATGGAATGAAAGAATGAAAAGCGAGGAGATGCCAGCAAGGAAGGAAAGTTAAACAAAGCCTCATTCATGAGGGATGGTGGCCTGCATCCAGCACACTAATTACTCTGCTCAGCTACCGGGACTGTACTGATTAGGAGGATAGACGGATGAATGAGGAGTTATGACAGGAGATGTGTGCTGCTGACACATGAATGCTCCCTGCGCTGGTTTCGAACACTTCACCTCCAGCTCATCTCGAAAAACCCGTTTCCAATAGGGGATGAATCATATGAAGGTGAAACCTGAGGCACTTCTCTATCTTCTCATTTAATCTGTCTCATTCTTTGTTTATTTTCAAACAAGAGACATAAAGACACCGCTTCAATCTTTCTGCTCGACCAATCTGTCGTCAGCTTGCAAAAACCTTTTATCTCAAGAGGCAAACTCCAGAAAATTGGGTCTGGACCTTTCCCAGAGTTTGACTTTCACATATGAAGAACATAGCAAGAGATTGTCCGGGTCAGATGCGTTCTCAACAACAGGAAAATGTCAACATCAGGCGTGGGGTGGGGACGTTTTTGTTTACAGCACATCGACAACGGCGTCGTGCTTTATTGCCAAAACCTCTGGATTAAACTTTTATATATGTGGGCTTTTTACATCAATTCAATAAAACTAGGTTATGGTTACATCAGGTGAGGTTTTAAAGCCCAAGATGCCATGACTCATATTACATTTAATCCTTGCCTTCCCTAAATTCAGCCAAGTCATTTGTGATTTGTTAGCTTTGAAAACTTTTGGTTCTTTTTAAATAAAACTTTATGAATTGGAACACTGCTCGGCAGGGCAAGATCGTTTCGTAGAAACTGACCCGCCTGTTAGAAAGGTTAAAGAGGTTAAAGTTGTAAACCATGAGATTCTGACTTTTTATTGACTCCATCTTTGGTCCTCACTGCTTATTACTGTGCTGTTTCTGCAGCTGTGTTTCCCAGAGATCTCTGGCCACAATGGTCTTTACCCTCAAATTTTCTTTCAGTCAAGTTCTGTTTTTTGAGCCATGATGCCAACTATCCCAGCTCCTCTAACGTTTATAACGCACCTCTTTTATAGTCACTTGTATTGTTACCATGAGGTAACTGTAATTTAATATTTAAGCAAGTATTTTTGGTCGTTAAAGATGATTTCAATTGGATTTATTGTGTCAAAAGTATTTTCCAGGACGATCAGCTGCTGTGTTTCCATTGTTTTGTATTTCCTAGCACTAAGAGTTTTCTGCTGACTGTTTGTTGGCCGTTTCTACGCGTGTCACAAAGAGGGATTGTGGTTGAATGTTAGTTGATGTGCGTGGCACAGCAGTGGGTCCAGGTGGAAACATTTACAGTGAGCACTTCCAGTCTAAACTGTGTTTATCAGATAAAGTGGGCCTGACACACCTCGGAGACTCCACAATTAGAGTCATCGATGTGTGGGACGGTTCACTGAAGCATGCTTACCTACTCGGTCAAAAGAAAAAAATCAAGTATGGAAATATGACTGTATACACACAGACAGAATCTGAAGGCTGCTCTTTATTTGGACATCTTAGCTTCAGGGTTGTTAGTTACTCAGTCCAACCTAAACAACTCTCTCAAGTTAACTAGGAGCGATTATACTCAGAAATATCTGAGTCTTTATGATGTAATTAAATCATTCTGTGACTCTTTTGCTTCCTCTCTCATCTCAGCTCCTCCAGTCTTTCATACACAACACAATCCAGCACGTAAACACTGACAGAAGTCAGGCTGCGGTGCAAATCCAGCAGAGGAAACAGTTGTTCCCATCTAAAAATAGATCTTTTTCTGAGATTTTTTTGAAATGTGGCCCGAGTGCATGTTTTTCCCATGTGGTTCTGTGTTTGTTAATGACCTGAGTCAGAATGAATTTGACATAAGCGGATGTAGTGTTATCTTCTGAATCACACAACCCTCTGTGTGTGTGTCACTGTGCGTGATCCATCTTTTTACAGAAGCCTTAAATTTAAAAAACCACAGTGGATGAGTCACTGGTGCGCGTGGTGAAGTCACAATACCTCAGAAGCAACTCACACTCGCTTTACCATAAATGAGCAAAGCAGCGCCGTCATAATCTGACTGTACGTGTAGTTGAAAACACACTCCTGGTGTGTCATTGCACAGGGGACCACAGAATATGATCTCAGAGTGTATCCACATATAGACATTTTCAAAAACATCTTTGCCTGAAGAAATAATTCAAATAAACTTGAGTTTCCTGCTCCGTTGACTTTTTCAGATAAGAAGAAGATCAGGGAAACAAACCCCAACGAGGAGAAGGCTTCAGACGCAGAAAGAGGAAGAGGAGGAGGAGGAGGAGGAGAAGAAAGTGTGCTGCGGCCCAGAGACATGAATCCCATCATCAACTCCACCCCCAGTGCCAACATGGCTCTCATCAGCAACGCACTGGCAGCCTTCACCTATGTATCAGGTGGGGATCAATCAAAATCAAAGTATTGTGCCACACATGACGTGGGCAGAGACGGATATCGAACCTCTCACCTTCTTTGTTTATTTAAAGATGAAATTCTGCTGCAGGGAACTAATGTTACAACATCATTGTCATTATTGATTCCTTCTCGGCCGAATGAAATCAGAGAAATTCGTGTGTGTGGTGAGTTTTTATTTGGATAAAATCCCCCGTTTCCTTTTTCGTTGGACAGAGTTGTTGGTAAATGTGGGCCAGAGGAATGCAGATGTTGAGAGAAGTTAATGACCACACACACACACACACACACACACACCATCAGTCACCTGTTTCAGGTAGCTGGTAAAGCAAATCAGAGACAGGAGAATTTTTGGGTGTTTGGATATTCCTTGTATCAGTGTTTAAAGTATTTATACAAAAGAAAAAATCTGACAGATGATCAATGTGGCCGCAGCCGCGATCCTGGATCTGCAACGATGTAGTGTATGTATGGACCGAGGAAGACCTGGAGCAGGAGCTGTGTAGATTCATTCATGAGACGGACCCTAATATGAGTGATGCTCTGGAGGGAAAGTCTGCAGGACGCAGCAGCCGCTTCACAGTATCACACCTAAGTCTGTGATTGATGCAATATGGGTCATTTTGCTTCAGAACCACAATGAAAGACAGATTATACTGTGGAGAAGAGGAGGAGCAGCTCTGTCTTATTCACTGTGTTTGAGGAGGAGTAAAGAATGTACCACGGTTAACAGGATTTGTGAGACATAACCAAACCAAAACACCAAGCCAGGGAAGTGAGTCATATGAGCTTTGAGTCCGCAGCCAGTGTTCATTACAGCGAGTGAGACATCAAGTGAAGTATTTCATGACGGATCAGCTGAACAGGTCAGAGGAAAATAAGGAGACCCAACATCGTTCAGAGAGATCCAATTACATGTTTGATGTTTTCTGTAAGAGCTCCACTACAAGTTGAATTTCCTTCGCTCATTTTCCGGTTCTCCTTCTCTTTCAGACCACCCAGAGAGGGCAGCGCTCTTCTTCGTCTGCGGCGTGTGTTTGGGCCTCTTCCTCACACTCTTCGCGCTGGTGGTCCAGATCTCCTGTCGCACTGACTGCAAGCCCCGCAAGCAGCCCCCCGCCAAGAAACGTCCCCGTCCCGCCGACTCGTCATCCGACTCCAGCGACTCGGACTCGGACTGGGACACCACCTCAGACCTGTCGGCGCGGAGACACCGACGGTTCGAGCGCACGCTCAACATGAACGTGTTCACGTCGGCGGAAGAGCTGGAGAGGGCGCAGAGGCTCGAGGAGAGGGAGCGGATCATTCGGGAGATCTGGATGAACGGGCAACCGGACATCCCTGGGACACGGAGCCTCAATCGGTATTACTGAGGCTTTTCCTAGGAAGATTATATGACTTGAACACATTTTAGGACGCACTTGGCTTGGAGGCGAGGCCCTGACAAGGCCAACTGTGGACTCGCTCGTGAGAACAGTGGAAGTTACTGCAGACCTGGAAAGAAAGCCCTCCCTCTCTGCCGGTTGACATATTCCTCTGGGTATCATAAGCTATACCCCATTTAGTAAGAGAATAAGCTCTCTGCATGGTAAGCTCACCTCTCCGCCGCTTCTCTCCACTGAAAGAGAGGGTGAAAGGCTACACTGCCTTACCCGTGACCTCCGCAGGCCTTTTTGAAGTGGGGGATATATGGGGTCGGCTGCTTCACACTGGCCCACAGAGAATACATGGTGACTGAAGGACCAGGGCCTCAGATGGGTCTGTTCTATACAGAACGCAGAGCAGTTGCAAGAGACACTCGGGGCTTTACGCTCAGAAGAACCCTCCAGTATTTAAGTGTGGACTTTAACGGAGGGGGCAGTGTCAGCTGAACGCAGCGTACTGGACGATGTAAGACAATCTCTCCACAGTGGGGAAAAAAAACCATGCTGCCTTTTGAACTTTATGAAACCAAAAGATATTTTTTGGGGGGAAATTCATCTCAACCCTTATGAAATATATTTTATGATATTTAATAGTTTATTGATGTTGTGTATTATTTTGTTCACAAGTATGGTTTGTTATGAGCTATTTTTATACTTGGCGAAGGTTGTCTGGCACCTCAGGGATGCAATCCTCGTGTTTCTGTGTTTCTTTGAGTGATGTTTTCGCTTCGTAAGAAGGGGATCGGCCCATTTGAACAGCTGTGTCAGCATTAACATAAAATAAAAATTAAAGATGTCATATAAAGAGCCTCAAAGAGGATGATTAAGCGATTTAACCTTATTTTTGATACGCGATGTTTAATTCACACTGCAGTGCCTTCTCTATCTATGAAGTGACCGTTTTAAAGAGTGCAGCTGCTGTTATCACTCAGAAACTGGTCAAAGGATTTTATGAATTGGAAAACACCAAATTTATCTCGTCGTACATGTATTCTCGTTGAACTGTTGCTGGAGTGGAGCATGTGTAAAAGCTGAATGTCTCAAATGTCAAAAGTTGCACTTCGTCTCATCAGATGTAAATGTCGTAAATATGGCAATTGTTGTTAAAGTGGATTTGTTGGAAACTATTTTTCTCACAGATTATAGTGAATGTCAGATGTTGGCCTTCTTCTTTTCAAAGATAACCTGTGCTTCACAGATGCTCGTGGTGATCGCCTGGTCATGGCCGTCTGAAGAAGGAACGAGCGCTGCAGCATTTGCTCCTCGTAAATCAAGTCGCCAGTTTAATCACAATATAAGCTATTATCAATCCAGCTCTGTGTTTTTGTGCTGCCCTGGATTCAAGCATAGAAATAATTATAGTTTTCATTTAAGAAAAGAAAAAGAAGCTTGGTTGGAGTTTTAACTGAGAGTACACAGGACATATTAGGGGTCATCCACATAAAGACTGCCACTCAATGTAGTATATTTTTAATAAAGACAGTTCTTGTGTTTGAATGGGATTCAAATGTGCCACTAGCTGGTGAAGTGAGACCAAAATATGACTCCTGTGCTTGGAATAAACTGTTCAAAAATAACTAATCCACTCTTTGTCACATTTCTTTATGTTATTATATTTTGCATTGATCTTATATTATTGATTTTCTTCACACAACTATAGATATTTATAAAACAGTACAATGAGGTAATCATGAGCTTTTATACTTATATCATGACCTGTGTGCATTTCTATCTAGGAAGATTTATTGGCTTTGCTCGCCCCCTGGTGGTAGTTTGAAGGCTTCACTGGTTGTGTAAATTCTACAGCTTAAAATCACCAAATTATTTATTTACACGAACTAAAGAGAATAATTCTGATAAATTTCATTGATTCTAGAAGTTAAAGTCAGAACTGAATATATATAGTATATACAAATTCAAATCATGTAGGCCTATAGTTGAAAAGGACATGCAGACTATTTTCAATTTTTATAATCACATCAGTTTTTACTTTTTTGACTCTTCAATTTGTTATATATATATTTATATATATATATATATATATATATATTTGTAGAACTTTTTAAAACGTAATGCATTTCGGGTTTTTGTTGTCCTGTTTCCATGGAGACCACACACGTCGGCGCTGTCGTGCAGCAGCAGCAGTTTCTATAGTTATAGTTAGTTTGTCCTTTTATACAGCTGCAGAAATAGTTCTATAACCCGGGAAAAGTTTACTTGGAGCGATGTCTTGGAACTGGAACGAACACGGATTACCCTTCTTACCTGGATACACATTCCGGGATGTGACGGTACGTACGGTTGTTACGTTAATGACTTAAAGTAAAACTACCTAGTTGAACTAATAACGTATTTAAATTGACATAACGCAACGATTTAACGTTCAGCTAATGTTAGACAAACTGAAGTTATATAATAATTACTTCTGTCATCCTTGTGTTCTTCCTGCATTCCTCCACTTTAAGATCAATTTTAATTTCAGCTGTCTACAACAGAGGGAAATTAATGACTTGAGTTAAAATCTGAAATCAATTTTTTATACAGATTACCAGGATACAATTCTCCGTTGAGGTGTCCTAAAGTAGAGACGTTTAAAAAATAATTCATTCAAATTATTTACCTGTATTTTTCTGTCCACTCCTAGGTTTTGTGTCACACAGGTATTTACGTAGTACAGTATTTCAACTTCAATTCAATGAGATTCCTGGGTTTGTATTTATCAGATTTAAAAAAAATCTAACGCCTGTTCATCTCAATGATCATTCCCTGCAGAAGTCTGCCTTCCATCAATCACAGACTCTCATGTACAAGAACGGCTTCGCTCTGCCCTGTCGCCCCACTGTTGGCATCGGGCAGGATCCTCTTCTGTCAGAGCAACTGATCCAGCAGGAGATCAACAAGCTGACCTTCGAATCATCAGACGTGAATCATGGCTCCTCATACAAGAGTCATCCTGAAGAGTTTGTACCAGCTCATGTGGCCTTAGACAAGAAGGTAAGGTATAACTTTGAAGACTTAGAACAGTGTTACCTGACTAATTAATCCCTTGTTTGTCTGCTCACCAAACTTTTGTCTTGTAGGTGCTGCGCTTCTATGCATACTTTAAGGAGGATGTCCAGTTTTCCCCTGACGAGCTGTACCGTGTGCGCCCTGTGATGATATTCTACTACCTAGAGGATGACAGCATGTACATCTATGAGCCCATAGTGGAGAACTCTGGGTTATCGCAGGGGAAACGGTTGAATCGACAGCGTGTGCCCAAGAATGAACGAGGAGAGCATTACGAGTATAAAGACCTCAACCTTGACATAGACCTGGTGGTGTATGGGGTCAAGTACCACATCACACACTGCGATGAGTTTACAATGGTACAACCTTTTTGATTTTTAACAGTATATTTAATATGTACCTGTCAGTTGTTGAAAATACACTCTGTCTATGTCTAAACAGGAATTCATGGAAAGTGAGGGCATTATTTTGAACGACCCTCAGCCGATGCCAGTTGATCCTTACAGCAACAGTCGCAAAATCCCTCTACCTTGCCACACCACACCCTCCGCTTTCGATCACACACACCAGTTTCTCACTATGGACGGCAAGGTAGAGTAAATTCCCTCCACTCCTAACTCCCTGGGTAGCCATTAAAAACTCTGATCCAGAGAGCTATCAACACAGAAACTAGAGTACAGTAACATCTATTCAAACACTTTGAAAACATGAGCTGCATGTGTATTCTTCTCTCTGTTCAGGTGCTGTGTTTTTTCGCCCTGTGGGATGACGCTGATTGTCTGCACAAGGAAACCAGGACAGTTACCATCCGCTATTACCTTGCAGATGACACAGTGGAGATCAGAGAGGCCCATGAACCCAATAGTGGTCGTGATCCCTTCCTGTTCGTGATGCGCCGACAGAAGCTGCACAAGAAACTCAAACCACGTAAGATGCAAAGTCGTGAGACTGGAAAATGCAGTGTTGTGATTATTCTACCTTAAGCTTGGCACCATTAAATGGTGTGCTTTAGGGCATTCAATAAATGTGGAAAGGGGAAGCTCGGCTTTTACATGGGGCACACAGTGACCAATAGTGGTTGAGAGTCGTTTCCAGGAGCAATTTTAACAACTATGTGTGAAGATGAAGAACCCTGGGAGACTGAGTTCTCGAAGCTCTCCTGTGTCTTTAGAATCAAGGAGACATGTGGTCAGGCTTTTGGCTACACATGTAAGCCCTGTGAACTATGGTTCACAATACCAGGTCCCAACAGCAGTTTCAATTTCTGCTCAACTGAAGCTAAACTGAACTGCTGACTGGAATTTGTATGAGGAAGCAGTTGCAGTGGTATGGAGATGTAAAAGTAAAGGCATTTTAAAATAAATAAATGAACAATTAATGATAATGTCATGGCATTTTCATTATTGAGTCACTGCATAAGTCTTCTTGTCTTATTTCCTTTCAGAGCCGTTCCCCAGCTGTGTGCTGCAGGTCTCAAAGGATGAGGTGGACGAGTACTACTCCCCCAAAGACTTCCAGGTGGGTCACACAGTGAAGCTGCTGGGTCGTCCCTTCTTGCTGTATGACTGTGATGACTTCACTAAAGAGTATTTCCAAACCAACCACCCTGACATGGATATGAAACCCATTGAAGTACAAAAGACGGTTGATGTGGACAGGAAGAAGGTGAGAATTATATTATCTGTCTTCATCTTTTCTTTCACATGTCAATGTCATCTGACCTGCCTGTGGGTACTTGTGTTGTGGTTACTATTATCTCTTGTCCATAAACCTCTCATGTCCATGCTGTCCACATCTACAGGAGGTTCCTCCCTACAATGGTTTTGGTTCACTTGAAGATTCTCTCCAGAATTGTTCGGCTCTGATTCCCAAGCCTCCGAAAAAGGATGTGATGAAGATGCTGGAGAACAATAACAAAGTGTTGTGCTACAGTGCCACACTGGTGAGTCAATGGGTTTGTGCCGTTTGGTCCAATCCAGGATGCAGAAAAATTACCCAAGAAGTGTAACTCTAAAATCATTTTATTGATTAACAAGACAAGATTCAAAGCCATGCTAATAAGGAGAGAGACAAGACATATTTCTCTGTTATGTTAAGCTGTCCCTATGTTATTGATTCCAGGACTCACAGAATCCCACAGACGAAGGCCGACGTTTTATTCTGTCTTACTTCCTGTCCAACGACATGATCAGTATTTTTGAGAACCCCACTCGCAACTCAGGTATCATCAGTGGCATGTTCCTGAAAAAGACACGCATCCCCAAGCCGGGCTCTACTGTGGATAATCCTGACTTCTACTCACCTGCAGACTTRGCTATTGGAGCCACTGTGGATGGTGAGCATCACAGTCTGGGTTTACAAAAGGATTGCTTACTCAGATACTACAGAGTCAACTAGGATGTGTAGCTCATTATTACAACCAGCACAACTCTCTCTGAACACATTAACCTGTATCCAAACTAGGAATTGTTGACCCTGCAATTTTAATTTGAGTTTGAGTATGGGGATTGATACCAAAGAGCGAAAGCTCAGCTAATGTCACCTCTCTCTTCTTTGTCGTGTCTGTTACTTTAGTTTTCGGCCACCGCTTTGTGCTGACCAATGCTGACCAATACGTCCTTACATACCTGGAGTCCATATCAAGCCAGATCCCTTCTCAGARGCTGGACTCTTTGCGTCAGAAGCTGGGTGAYGGGGCAGCGAATAACCAGCCAGGTGAACAAAATGGTTAAATAGTCAGCTAATAATCTCTATTACTTGTTTGTCAGGGATACTTGGTGTCACCTTTTTTAAATGCACTGATACAATACTCAGCAAAGTAASCKCTAACTTTTCTTTTTTTAATCAGGTGATGAAGTAGAGGAGCCAMCCGAGTGATGCCAGTGAAGGCTAGATTGCCCTCAGTGTTGTTCCCTGCTCAATAAATCTATGCATAAGAATATGAACCTTTGAAGAGTATTTCATAACACAATAAATAAACTGGTTGCAATACATGAAGAGGTATTTGTCCAACAATCGCAAAATGACTCTGCCTTGCCACACCACACCCTCAGAATTTGACAAGAAACACCAGTTTCTCACTATGGACGGGAAGGTAGAGTAAATTCCTTCTGTAACCATTATAAACTCTGATCCATACAGCTATCAACACAGAGGCAGAAAATGAACCGGTTCTAGTTTCAGTCTCTTAACTTCTCTCTGTTTTTTACGTTTTTTATGCCAAAGTGAAACTAGCTATTATTTTTAATTTAAAGCGTATTTAAGTCTACATAACATGAGGGTTTAATGTTTCAGTAAAGTTAGCAAAACTGAAGTTATATAATATTTACAGTTTACTTTCTGCATTCCTCCAGTTTAAGCAAATTTGAATATATAAATTTRAACTTTCTATCAACTGCAGAGTTGACAGAGGGATCTGAAACAAAAGTTTCTATACAAATGACCAAGCTAAAATTCTCTGTTGCAGTGTTGTCAGGTAGAGACGTTTACTAGTAAACATGAAAAATATTATATTCAAATTATTTATCTTGTACTGGTTCTTTTCTGTCCACTCCTTTGGTTGTGTGTCAGACAGGTTTTTATGTAGTTTAGTGCTGTTGTAAGTATTGTAACAATAGGATCACATACCATGTTAATTGGACTTCAATTTAATTGGATTCTTGAATTGATTTATATCTATTTACAGGATTTAAAAAATCTAACGCATGTACTTCTTAATGATCATTCTCTGCAGAAGTCTGCCTTCCATCGATCACAGACTCTCACGTACAAGAACGGCTTCGCTCTGCCCCGTGACCCCACTGTTGGCATTGGGCAGGATCCTCTTCTGTCAGAGCAAGTGATCCAGCAGGAGATCAACAAGCGGACCTTCAAAACACCGGACATGACTCATGGCTCCTCATACAAGAGCCCGCGTAAACAATTCGTACCAGCTTACGTGACCTTAGACAAGAAGGTATGGTACAACTTTGAAGACTTAGAATAGTGTTTGATGGTGTTTGTTGCTGTGTAACCTGACTAATTAATCCCTTGTTTGTCTGTTCACCAAACTTTTGTCTTGTAGGTGCTGCGCCTCCTCTTCAGTGGGCCATCCTGTGGAAAATCCTTTCAGGAGGGGATGTTCAAGGGCATTCTCCCTCTCCTCCCTTTTTTGTTGCTGTATTTCGCCGTCTCTCGCTCCTTCCTGCCTCTGCTTCGCTCTCATTCTAATATCTCAATGTCCTCTTTCTTTTCTCATACGTATAGGGTGTTTCTCTCATGTGTACTCTATTCTCTCCATCATGATCTTCACAAGCCTCCATTTTCTTAAATGTGAATTCACACACGTGTTTTAAAGAATAGGTCTCATTGAGGTCAGGGGAGATGTTTCAGTCAAAAACAACATATTTACGATCATGTGTGCGTTGCTTTATCAGGCCACAGTATCCTGCACCTTCATCTGTTGAACCACATGACGCCCCTTTTCCACCTTTTGCGGACTTGGTGCCGGTGCTCCTGCCGGATCAAGAACAAGTTTCCACATATTTCCACAGAAAACTGTTAGGTGCAAAACTACCAATCATAGTGTTCGGCCAGGCTTGATTTCTTTCCTTCTGCTATGTAACGTTCTTCAGTTGAGGTCTATTTGCGGTTTGAAAACCACAAATTGCTGCATCACATTACTCCACACTGGTATAGAGCCTGGAGTGGAGCCGCTGCTCCTTTGCATCAAAAGGAGCCAGTTGAGGTGGGTCACGATGTCTCCTGGGCAGCTGGCTTTGGAGGTTTTCTGGGAATGTGCAACCGGGAGGAGACCCCAGGGCAGAATGAGAATTCACTGGAAGGATATAAATCCCATCTGACCTGGGAAGGCCTCTGGATCTCCCAGGATAAACTAGATTTATCTGGATTACCCTGGTTTGCCTGCCGCCACAGCAACCCGACCCAAGAGGATGGATGGATGGTTCAGTTTCCAAACCTGCCAAAATGTAGACTACTTCTCAAAAGGACAGACACTCGTACCCTCCTATTAGAAAACAGATACTGGACTTTTCTCATGCAGAGACCAGCGGCACTGTGATGCAGTGGTTAGCGCCGTCTTACAGCAAGAGGGATCTGGGTTTGATCAACAGTTGAGTTGGTAAATGATGGATGATGATTCATTCCCTGAATTAACATCTAGAGCTTCAGGGGTGGTTTTGTAATTCCTGAACAGCCTTTGGATGGACTGTCATGAAACTTTGCTCAGACAATATTTCCCCCCTGGGTTTAATGTTAATTATGTAGAATCTTCTCCAGCCTTAATTTAATTCTGTCCAGTGGTTTGGTTAAATTCAATAAGTAACTTTCAGGAAACTTACAGTTAGAGATCAGAACTTGTTTCCTTCATCGCAGCTGGTGACAGATTTAAAAACATCGAGTATCTTCAACTCTTCACTTACTTTTTTTTTTTTTTAAACTTCTTTTCATCGAACAAACAAATCGACACATGCTTCACGAGCTGCTGTTTCCGCTCCGTCGCCGCTGGGGGGCGCTGACACGGGCTTTGTGCAGTTTCTGCTTCCTGGTTTGTATCGTCATCAGCCGCGGTGCATCAGGGGAAACAAAATGTCCGCCCAGAACMCGAGCTAACGCTAATTTAACAGAAACAACCGACAATAAATAGACATTTCGCGATGTTTTTCCGAACCGCGGGAATGTCAGTACCTGTGTGATACCTTCTCTGTGTTCAGTTGAAGCCATGGTGAGTGCACGGCCTCTCATTTCACCAGGTTTAGTAGTTTATTTAATCTCCTGAAGCGTTTTTTAGATTTAGCTTCGCACAGTCCTGTTGCTGAAACACCAGAGAAACGACGAATAACGGATTAAAGATTCAAATCCTCGAATGTTTATGTGGCTCTGCTCGAATTATAACACTTCCTGCATGATAGTTGTATGAGAACACCCACAGCTATCGATACATGGCTATCGATACATAGCTATCGATACGTGTTTATTGGTAAATGCAGCTAATGTAGTTTCACGTGAGTCAGAGAATGAATCATTAGAGGATAATAACTTCCTGTTCTGTCTCTGACGTTATCACACACGTGTTAATGAGAGTCACCACTACAGAGAACATGTCTGCAGCTCTGATCTGAGACAATATGTCAGGGATCAGTGTTTGTTCCTGATTCAATTGAAACTATTGACGCTGTCAATCGATTCATAAACAAGTTTCAGTATTCGGTTGGGGGATCTTTCTGCTCCATCCCTGATTGAACGTTTGTTGTTGTTTCTAGTCAACCAGAGCCGAGTGCAGAGTGTCCAGCTCCAGCTCCAGAACAGAGGAGAGAGAAAGGAGGACATCGACAAGCAGAGGCAAGACGACACCAAACACAGAAACTCACCATTGCTGCAAACTTTGAATCAGTGTAGAACCCACCCTGTCGCTGTTTCTCGGCCTGTGTGTGATGGTAAAGACGCACAAGTCGTCGTTAATGTTGCGTTGGATGTAGGGCTTTGATTATCACGGCCACAAGAACTGAAGAAAACAATATTATTACAATATCCATGGAAATGTTCTCAATATTCTCTTTATCTGTTGATTGTGTGTTTTATCACATTTTTGGCTCATGAACTATGCTCAGAATACTACAAGACAATATGATTTCAGTGATTAAAGATGTTCTGAGCGATTGTAAATAGATTAATGTCAAGATGATACCTGATTTACATCATCTATCTTTGTGCCTTTTTGTTTTTCTTCTCCAGGGCGAGAAAAAAGGAAGCGGAAGCGCAGCCGCAGTAGATCGTCTTCATCGTCCTCTTCAAGTTCGTCTTCATCGTCCTCTTCATCTTCCTCATCATCATCATCATCATCGTCTTCATCGGGTTCATCACATTCGTCCAGCCGCAGTCGAAGTAGTTCGAGTAGCAGTGGTAAGTGTACATCCAAAGTTACACAGCTACACTTAAATAAATACATTCAAATGTCTTGGTTGTTTTTTAAATGTTAACGTTATTATACAACATTATTAATATCCATGCTCAGATCGGACTCAATGTCTTGTTTTATGTTTTTGGTTTTTAGAATCCCGCAGTAAATCTAGAAAGCAATCAAAGAAAAGGAAAAAGGAGAAACAACACAAAAAAGTAATTTTCTGCACATTTGGCTTTAGTCATTTTTTTACTCACTGACTGAGAAACTAAGTATTTCAACTTATTTTGTTTTCTGAACCAGAAAGGGAAGAAAGAAAAGCGTCATAAACGTAAAAAAGACAAGAAAGCAAAAGGAGGAGAGGAAAACTCGGGACCTGTACAGATCTCCAAGGTAGGGAAACATTCAGTAACAGTCCATACACACTCTCATTGGACAAGGAATTATATCCATACGTTGTCTCCTCATGTATAGTCCTCTTCTAGCTATGTAGATATAATTTATAATATGTGTTTTAATATCAGAATTACTAGATGTTCTCTCCGCTTTCAAAGGTGACCTACAGAATAAATATATTCATCCTTATTCTCAAGATAATGAAATGTCACATGTGTTCCTCTTTCAAATCTTCTATTAAGTGAGAATGATCTTTTAATCTTTTTAACTCAAAGCTATTAAAGGAGATTTAGATGTGGAGTCCTGCTAATATGATGTTGCAATACTACATATTTAATGGAGAAGGTCCAAGTAATTATTTTTCATACAATTGTTTTTCTTTCAGTACTTGAAGGACAGGAAAAAAGGCAAGTACAGCATGATTTCAGGGAAGAAGATAAAGATGAAGGTAAAGAAGTCAAAGAAAGACAAACAGGTAAACTGTCAAGGAAGTCACCAACTTTTCTTTGTATAGTTTGTGAATGTATCTGCGAATCTGTGAATGCTCTTTCTTTTTTGTTTTAGCGGGATAAAAATCGGGCAGAACTTCTCGACTTCTTGAACTCCACTCTGTGATGACACCATGTACGCCACAAGTGGTGGTCAGGCTCGGACACGTCAGCAGAACTCAGGAAACAACGACTGAGCGGTGCAGGAGAACAAGTTTTTTTCTATAGAAGAGATGATGAATACAACTTGAACAGACACACAGGGGCAGCACTGAGCTGCACGGAGGGAAGGAGCTGCTGTTCTCGCAGCGAACTGAGACGCTGGTGTCCAGATGCCCAATTCTTCAGCTTTTACTCTGGTAGTGTTTGTGACATGAGACATGAGACAATGTTGAGCGTTGTTATCTGAAATTTTACCTGTGGCCAAATGGACCATATGAAGGTGAAAGTGGCTCATCCGCCACTTTACATGTGGTTTAATCATTCGGTCACTGCTTTAAAAGAGGACTCCACCAATTTAGTATTGCACTAAACTTAGACTCAACATGGAAAGTTTATTTAAATGATTCAAATTTTTGCTGCAAAGCAAGAGCTTTTGATTTGTCCTCATTGTCAGAACCTGCTGCCCACGTTACCCACATCGTAACTCGGCCTCTCAAAGTTTTGGAATCGAAGAGATAAGTGTTATTCTATGTGGCCTCACGCCTCAAGCTACATGCAGAGATATTGAGTGTGACTCGGGCTGCTATTCTTTTGTCCGAACCAAGGAGAAAAGTCAAGGACCCTTACCTGACAGGAAATCTGTTATTTGTGTCTGAACCCAACCCTGAGCCCGACCCTTTCAGTGGCCCGTCAGGCTGGGGCCAGAGACCACACCACCAGATTATTTGGATTTTCAGTTTTTGCTGGTGCTGACACAGCTCAGAGAATTTGTAGGAATTTATCAGATTCCACATGACTCCCTCTGGGGCCACGAAGAGCTTCTACAATTTGTTTTCCTCCAATCACCAGTTCTCCTCATGACCTAACAGATGTTAATGTGTAAAATTGGTGAAGTTCTCCTTTAAAGTGTAAAATAATTTCTAACATTTTGACTGCGTCAACTTTACTACGTATAGGACTGTGTATTTTTTTAATAGGAAACCCTATGTCATGTTTCCACAGTAAAACTCAGCCTTGGGAACCACAGTGTTATCAGTGTGAACTGATATTCTAGTTTTTGATGTACATTCTGTTTAAAATGAGGAGAACTTACTCTTATGTTGTGTTTGATGACTGTACGACACACTCATGACATTCATTCCCCAAAATCTGTCACTTCTGTTATGTACCAGTTATTTTATTAAACTGAAAAACAAAACACAGTCACTATTTCGCCCTCGTTGTGTCAAACCAGTTGGAAGCTTTATATGAATGATGGAGTAAACCTGTCGTGTACTGTTGAACTTTACTGTGTGATAGACAAGAAACTGCTGGAAAGATTTTGCTATGAAATGTTTGGTTTAAAAAAATCTTTATCATTTACTAAGTGTTTCTTTGCCTCTTTTCCTTTGTGACATTAATGAAAAACAGAATGAAAGCTTTCAGGTTGTCGACCTTGGTTCACGAATTATTGTGCAGAGTCCCCGTGCTGCTGCTGCTGCAGAGTGGAGAGAGCATGACTCACTCTGAAGAATGCAAACGTGAAAACGGATTATCTATGATTTGACTTGAAGAGCAACTTGTAGACAGAAATCTCATGCAAAACATTCTGCTATCGAAGATCATTCTCCTCTCAGGCATTTTGTGTAGTCTGACGTAACACAATCATTTTCTCCTGCAACATGAAATACTTAAAATTAGATAAACATCAGTGTAAAGCTACAGTAAATATCTCTTCGTGCTCAGATACCAAGAATCTACAAAATCTAAACAGGTGATAATCTCCTGAAACCTTGAAACTCCTTCCATTGTTGATATATCTGTTTTGTGAGGTACAGAAGCTGACATCGTCCTTTCAGTAGATCAAGTGCTGAGTGGTCTCATACCGAAAACACAGGAGGAGGATGGGACTCATCCTCTGTTGCCTGGTGCAAACTGGACGTTGAACAGCAGAGGTCCAGAGGTCAGCATCTGTCCCAGCTCAAAGCGTCTCGTGCCCCACGAGGCCCCATCGTCAAACAACCTTGCTGCTGCTGGTTCCTTTGTATCTGAAGTCGGGCATGCTCCACACCCTCAGCTCCCTGTCCGTCCCTCGCTCCACGTCCTCGGACACCGTTTTGAGGTCGCTCAGCCCGGCGCCCTCGGCCGCAGCGGAGGTCAGGCCCACCGTGCTGCCGAAGGGGTTGATCTTGATCCTGGACCTGAAGTTTATGAGGGACACGCTCATGGCACGCTTGTTGTTCCACTGGCGGGTGAGCCGCTGAGCCTCCTGCTCCTCCTTCAGGTGCTCCAGAGCCTCGAGGAGGACGGAACGGAACAGGCCCGGCACCTCCTGCACCTCGGGCTCGTTGGCCTGCATGACCTCCCGGAACCTGCACAGGGCAAAGCAAAGCAGGTTGAGTGATGAGAAATGATAATAAAAAGAATAACATGTGGATGCACAGGCGATTGGTTTAATCTTCTTTCTTTTGGATATATGGAGTCATTTTATTGTCTCTATTGTTGGGGCGGATTAAGATGGCAGATGGCTGCATGTCGGAATCAAACCTGTGGCTTCTGTAGAAAATTCAAACGTCTCTGAAATTATGAGATGCTGTTAAAAGGAAAATAAAAGTTAGATTTTCTTAATATTTATAAAATGCTTTAAATTGAAAGCAACAAAATTATATTTGTATATCGTTCTAAACAGGATTTTCTTTGTACATATTTTATCACAGCTTTACTAATTGTTTAAATGTTCTTTCCCTGGTGCGTGTGTGTGTGTGTGTGTGTGTGTGGCTCCTCACCTCTCACCTGCATCAACACCTTTCAAGCTGTTTCCTCACCACAAAAAACTGTCAAACTCTAACAAGACACCTGAGACGTGACCTCAGCAGCTTCCTGCTCAAACAGGCTCAGGACGACTTTAATCTAGTTTTCTGTTTGAATACATTGTCATCTGACATTTTTAAGCCTCGGTTGTTTAATCTGACTTCCTCCTCCAGTTCTTATCATTGACACATTGTCACGTCAGCGTCTCCTTACTTGAGTATGACCAGGCCGCAGCAGGACGGCGGCACCTTGGAGCAGAGGTCCTCCAGGCTGAGCCTCTCGCCGGTGCTGATGCTGTAGGAGGAGCGAGGCATGCTGGCCAGCCAGCTGTAGTCCACTCCGGTCTTGAGGCGCCGGTACTCGCTCTCCCTCTCCCTCTGCTGCCTCTCGGCCTCCTTCAGCTGCCAGCTGAACTCCAGCATCAGGGTGTTGGTGACCACGTCTGCAGGGTCCCGTCGGGGGCTCCGGTAGTAAGGCTCATTCCAGCTGAACCAGGAGGCCATGGCCTTGTCCTCCTTCACCGTCCACTGAGGAGGGAGAGACAGACCGACATGATCAGACCTCTCATTAAACAAGATCACAGAATATTCCTGTTGAAATTAAGATCAGTCAGGTTAACTGAGTTCACAATGGATTATTCTGTGCACACTGCTTGTTGCACACTGCAGATTAGATTTCTTGCTCTTATTCAAAGTAATGAGATATAACTAAGATTAAATAGTAGTTGAAGTGTGTGTGCCTTTGTGCTTTGCAGTTACACAGTTAAACTCTCACTTTCACTGTGTTCTCTTCAGTTTAGACACACTTGCAAATATTAGTATAATGTTGGCTTCATTTGCTTAATTCGTTTTTTGAGATGATGATGTGAAGCTCGATGAGACAAACTGTGATTTGTGAATATGGACTACACAAATAAAATATGATTAGTTGATTCATACCACATCCTCTGACATCTGGACTTATTCCCTAAAGAGAACATCTCTGCCTTTGTCTCCTCTGTGTTCTTCAGGCGTCATGTTCACCCCCCACTGACGATGAATTCACTCCCATCAATAGAGTCTTTTGTTTGTTTTGGCTTTTGTGATGAAAGAACATGAAACATCACAGAGGACGATGGTACCACGCTTCATTAATTCAAAATAAAAGGTTTTAGTTCTCAAATCTCTCAGCTTCTTAGACGTTAAGCGGATTCCTTTTATTTTTTGGCAGCATTTAAAGTCTTTACTCCACCTGGACACATCGGCTTTTAATCGGTTTGTATTTTGTTTCTTATCCATTCTTTCAGTCCTGGGTTAATCTGTTGGTGGCGTGTTGAGGTTTGTCATAATGAACGTGTGCAGAGAAAAGTTTCATGACAGAAGCACACAGTGGGATTAGTGTCGGTCCTGCTCCTCTGCAGCCAACACTCACTAAGTCTGAGCTGATTAACGCTTCAAAATGGAGTCAGACACAGACACACAGTCACTGAACCACATTACATTCACTGAAGACAGACAGAATTTCACTTAAACTCCAAATTAAAACTTCTTTACAATATGTGAGTAAAACAGAATAAAAACTGGGGGAAGATTTACAACACTCTGCAACACACTGCCTGTTCCCAGTAGAAGTTTCTGTAACACGAGTTTCTGTTTCTGTAACACGAGTGAAGATGTTTAGACATTTTAACATTTAATGTAACCTTCTCCACAGCACCCTGAATAAAATAACCGCCTGATTACATTCATACATTATTGATCTCACATCTATTATCCAGATAAATACAAACACCCTCTGTTTTTTCTCAAATATCAACGATTTACACTTGAACCTCTTCCATGAGATTTCATTACCAGATCTTGTGGTGATGTGAGTGATGTAAGTTCGCAATTCAGTCATTTAAAATCCTGTTCACATCTATAATAAGGGTTCTGGCCATGAATTTAAAAAGGGTTTCATGTTTTTGTCATCATATTGTTCAGTGTTCCAGAGAAATAAAAAGGGTTAAAGACATTTTTCAAACTGTTACGCTCTAATTTCTCTGTTTTGCTGAAATGACTTTGTGATTCACTGACAAACGAAATATTTGTAGATATGGAGATAGGTTGTCTCATGGAGGAAAATATTCAGGTTTGAACTTTGCTTCTTTTTTTCAGTTTTTCCAATATATAGAAAATAAATGTTTAAATTTCCCAGCTGACGTTTTTCCTTCCTGTCCTGCTGCTCACTTTGAATATGTTGAACCTTCCCTGGTCACATCTACTGAGTCCAGTCTGTTGCTCTTTACTCTAATGCCAGAGAATGAACAGAGTAAACAATAAAATAAATTCTTACCTCCTCTTCTTCCTTTTTCTTTTCCTTAAGTTTGTAAAACTAAATCCCACAGTGGAGCAGAATCCGAAAAGTCGTCGGGGGAGCAGAGATCCAGAGACGGGCTAAATGAAACGCAGAGAGAGAAAATAGAAATGGTTTCTCTCTCTCTGACGATCACACTGTATTATCTCCACCTGTCTCTCTCTCTCTCTCTCTCTCTCTCTCCATCCCTCCTCCTCTTCCTCCTCCTCCTCCCAGGAGCCTCTCTGGCCTGCCTTTACTTGTTGCAGGAGGAGGCTGCGGGCGCCATCTCCGACGGGAGCCATTGGTTCTCGGCCCTTGATGAAGTGCTTATGCAGCTTTTTACGATTCTCTGTTGCCATAGTGACGCTCATAAGCCTATTTGTGCACAATGAGGCTCCATCAGCTGAGAGGGAGATGGAGAGGCAGATAAAGAGGGCGGGGATGGAGAGAGGGGAGGCGAATCAGGAGGATGTTGTTTTTGAGGACAGGGGTTAGATAATGAGTCACTGGCCCAGAGCAGACATGAATGAATTATCGGAGAGCTGGTAAAGTGCTAATTGCAGGAGGAAATGTTTGTCAGTGTGTGTGTGTGTGTGTGTGNGTGTGTGTGTGTGTGTGTGTGTGTGTGTGAAGGAGACAGCAGAGAGAGAAGCAGAGTCCAGATTGAATGTGCACTCAGTCATTGTGTAGGTGGATATCAAGGTTCATGCTGTGTGTAGGTGTGAGCAGCTCAAACCTCAGACGCTTCGCTCTCTGCACATAACCTCGAAATCCTCATCGCTCCAGCCTCCTCCTCCTCCTCCACCTCCTCTTCCTCCCCCTCCTCATTCTTCCCTCTCCGCCTGTGAGATAAAAAAAATCTGGGTGAACTTTGACCTCAGTTTATTTCGCTGCAGAAACATCCGCCTCTAACAGAGCCAACAAAAGACCCGTGTATATAGATCTTGTGTGCTCTGAATTCATCAATGCTGTTAATGAGCAAACAAACATTTGCACAATTTTTCTTCAATCTGAAATGTTGAAAGAAAATTATCCCACATATTAATGTTATATTAAGGCAAATTATTCAAAATGTGAACAACAGGCCTTTTTCACTGCAGATGTTTCTCCTCAGAGCAGAGGAGTGCAGCTGTAGTCATCAGTAACAATGGCTCCTCTGTGAACACACACAAGTGGTTTAAGAATAAGATTATTTCATTGAATAAATGACGTTTGATTGTCAGGTTCTCAAACTGAATGGCAGATATGTGGCTCTTTAATTAAGTTTCCCCAGTGGGAGAAGATTTATTAGCTATTCATGACGCTGCTAGTTACACCTTATAAATCCTCTATTATGTAGATCTAATGAGAAAGTGCTATTGATCCGTCTACACAGCGAATTAAATCTAGATTTACTGTCTGGCAGCAGCTAAGAGACTCTTTATTACGACCCTGACCTTCTTCCTCTGCAGGCTGATTCTGCAGCACAGCCAGTGTCTGCACACAACACATGAAGTACATGAGGCCACTGCTCCCTCTGGCAGGGAGTCAAACTGCACTCCGAGTGAACAGTGGCACCACACAGCCACTGGGTCAAGTTCCTAATCTGAAGGAGTAAGTATCCAGTGGAGTGAGGGAGGCCTCCTCCGTAACTCAGCTCGAGGTCGACAGATGGACAGGTATAAGCTCTCGCCCTGTAATCCAGACAGATGGAGGCGCTAATCCCTTTAAGTGATCCCCCCCCCCCACCACCATCAATCCCATGTTAACCTCGCTCAGCCAGCGGCCGCAGGGGCCCTGACGCTCGTGATGTTGTTTGGTGGAGGCTTTTTTTGCAGGTTTGCTGTGAATGGTGGAGAGACGTGGTTCTGACGCACGACGATGACAGCTTTCAGACGCCTGACCTCATCATCTGATGTGATCTCACCTGTTATCAGACAGGTGGGGGGGTCCTGCACTGGGGCCGTTCAGAGGTGAGTTTACTCATAAAATCCAATCAAACATTTGTTTTCCCTGAATTCCTTTGATTTCATTGCTTTGACTTATCGTTGTGTGTACGTACATTAATGAATTTTGCTTGTTAGGCTCCGTCTTTATCTTGTTTTCACTGTTAGCTTGGGTTTTTGTGCCGTGTGACTTTGTGTGTTTGGCTGAATCTGGCACATTTCCATGCTTGACTCAAACAACTTTATTTCTACCGTGTTTCTCAAACCAAAAGTGATTTAGCCTCGTGGAGCCTTGTCACACCGCGTGATATCCCATGAAGATGAATGACCAGAGAATGGCTCAGTATAATTTTAACTTTTGTGACACATTGGCTCTGTTGTGTAACAAGTAAGGAGGAAGCTGACAAAGTGAAGCAGTAGAAGTATTTACAAAGAAAAACTAACTTAAAGCATACATGGTAATCAGTTCTGTCAGTGGTGTCTGTATAAAAATAAGAATCAACAATTATCACGATGGTGCCGCTGCCATGTCCGTGTGGTGGTGGACCTGGTGAAGGAGAGAGAGAGAGAGAGCCCAATCTGCACCCCCCTTAAATAGTGGTCAGCACAGGTGAGCCACATATCTGCTGATTACACAACACACACCACCGCAGCAACACAACTCCAGGGTTGTCACACTTTGTATGATCATTTAAATAAATGTGTTATTTTGACCCATTTCCTTTTTCTGTTTTGTTTCTTAGAATCATCCCTACATACAATGAGTCACTGTAGGAAAATGATAATATGACTAGTAGGGCACAGACCTCCACCGAGGCTGAACAGTCGCATGGTTGTTTAGTTTGTATAGTAGAAATATTAAAGAATTGAGGAAGTGATCTCAAAACCTAAAAGATTTATTTGTAATAAAATTTAGTTAAAGAAAATATATCCGCACCTTGATCTGCATTTGCACCAACATTGAATGAGTTCTTCTGAAAATCTAATCCTTCACACAAATAAACAAACAGGTGAACATGGAAATCAATTCTTATTTTGTGCAGCTACTCGTCAGTATCAACAGGGGGCGACACATCACTATATAGCCAGGCTTCATTATCTTGAAGGTCTTTTTAATAAGAAAACAATAAAACAGCACAACAACAGAGTTTTTGTCTTTGTCAGTAAATCTCTTGCATCGTGTTCGACGCAGTGAAAATATTCGTGTCGTACACAAACAAGCTGATCCTGATAATCTGAGGTGAGGAGGACGTCAGACAGTGAGTCAGCATCATATCCAGAGGAGCCACAGATTACTCAGAAGAGCATGATACCCTGACACCGGTGACATCATGCTGCTGTAACAGATCCTGGGACCTGAATACTTTCAGTTTCGGGATCAGTTCATGTTTGGAAAAATAATTAAATCAACTTTAGCCACTTTCAAATGCAAATTCAAAACCCGGCTGTTCTCAAGCATCTGATTATTTTACCGCTACACGTTTCATTGAATTAAAATGTGTTGGTGCGGAGAATGTTCACAGATCAAACATTTAATTCATCAATAAACCCTGTGACTTGTTTCCTGCTGAAGCTGCTCCAGGGTTTATCCAGCACTCAAACACACCACTAGATGGTAGATTTTCTCCCTTTTACCTGCTGAGAGGCTCAGTGCAAGTTGCTGGTCTCTTTTTATTTCCTTCTCTTTGCGGTCACATCCCAGTTGAGATAATAATCACCTCAGGAGGTTATAGCTGAGTCGGGCAGATTTTGGGTGGAGAAGCAGGTGATCCTGGGCGTGAAGAAGAAGGAACACAAGTTTTGTTTTCAGAGCTCATTCTTCACATTCTTGAGATTAAAAGCATGAAAAGTTCAACTAAATAAACAACACCGGCCTCACCTAATGCATCAATATTATCACACAAACATTCTTTACTGGGAAAAAAGGGAGCAGAGGCCTCAGGAGAAAAGCTGACACACATGTGAGGAGATGAACAGATGCAGTAAAGGCAGTGAAGTGAAGACACACACTGAGCTGAATGTCACCTTTGTCTGATTGTCAGACTGGTTCACATGGAGCAACCCCTCCTACATCTACACACACACACACACACACACATGTCAGGCTCGGGTGCACTCCAGTCCCATGATGAGCACAGAACGTGGAAACTGACGAGGTCAATTTCAAGAAGCAGTTTGAGTTTGACTGCGTTTGCATTTTTACCTGTTGTTTGTGTCTGTTGTGTGATCAGATAAATGTTAAACATCACAATGCTACTTGCTCACACTCACCTGTACCAAGTACATTTAGTGCTGTACTTACGTTTAATTAATAGTTTAATTATTATTTGAGGTAGAAGTACTTTTTTGCTGTATTTATGTTTTACTTTGACATACTAACTTAATTTAACTGTGTAATACTCATTTTCAGTCTGTGCAAATTCACCATATTACATGTGCAATCCTGTTTTACACTACATTTATTTAAGTTTTTCGGCCCCTTACAGGGACCAACTAAAGTATCAAAATATAAACTACAACTGGTTTTGGATCAGTAACAATCTAAACACGTCATCTTTTATACTACATATCGACCCCAAGAGTCATTGAGTACTTTTACTTATATTTGAACTTCATTTGCCAATAATACTTTGGTACTTTAACAGAGGATTGTGAATGCAGGACAACTTGTAATGGAGCTATGTTCTTTACTTAAACAAAAGATTATTTCTTCTTCCACTAATATGTGACATTTTAATGTGTTTATTTATTATCCCTCTGAACATTGAACACAGGAGTGAAAGTAAAGGATCTGACTTCTTCTTCCACCATGTTAAAATGAAAGTGGAGGATTTCACAAGAAATGTGAGACTATAGTGATGAAAAGAAGGAAAGTGAGGGGATTTCCTGGAAACAAAAGAAAAGAAGGATTATCACGATATAAATACGTCCATCAGAAGGTATTAACAGCTTAATGTCGATGTATAAAGCTGTTTCTTCATTTCACTTCCTGCCGGTCTTCTGCTGCTAACTTGCATTAAAAGGAGTTTCTTCAAGTTTCACTTCTTCCTGTTGTTCTTTCAATAAACAGCTTTTTCAAAAAAAGCCCCTTGATCTAACTCGGTTGTGTAATCCAGAGGCTGTGCAGTAAGCGGCATGTTCTTTAACATCTGAGTGCAATGTGAATTGGCTGCCCTGTGGTGTGACTGTATGGGGAAGGAAGTCACATGAGTCCAGTGAAAAAAAAAGAAAAAAAAGACTCTGATTTGCTGACGTCCCCTTTTTCTTTGGCCTTTGTCCAGCGTCACATTTCCCTGGAACAGGACTGTGGACTACGGTCAGTGAATGTGTGGTGGGAGCTGAATACTATCACAGGTCATCGTGGTCTGAGTCGCTTGATAAGCAGGTGTAAAGAAACAGTGAAATGATGCTCAACAACACCTCGTAATGATCTCAAGGTGAAGCATTTACAGGTTCATATCTTGACACCATATACAGGGCTGGTATTGGATGACATGTAATCAAGGATTACATAATTAAATTCCAAAAACAAGTAACTACAATTGAAAATATGTGTAATATATATTCATAGTTTACACGATCAACTTTTGATTATGTCTTTAAATGATGGCAATTTTAAACTGATTCACTTTTTTCATGATAACCAGTTAAAATTAGAGAACTATGTTTCACATACAGCGTTTCTTTGATTCCGTGTTGCAATCCGTGGCGGGGGAGGGGAATAAAAGCAGGGCTGAGTCAAAATGGAAGTTTCAAGCATGTGATGAAACGTAAGACAACAAAACAACAACTCTTCCAGGGAATCCCTGCGGTCACTATCAGATTGAATGAGACAAATGCTGTTGTTGACGAGCCAAGTGGGCTTGTTGATGCCGTTCCTAGCACATGATGGATGCAAAACTGAAGAAAACAACAAAATTCAACTTTTGAAGGATTTCAAATTATAGAGCTTTTGGTGATAAGGGCCAGTGTCGATGTGCTGTAAACCAAAAAACATGAAATCTTATCATCTTATAACGTATATGTGATATCCTGTCTCCTGGACACCGCCCCTCACCTCAATATCTCCGACATGTTCTTGTTGTTGTGAACACGTCTGACCCTGACAAGCTCCTGCTGTGCTCTTCATATGTGAAAGGCAAAGTCCAGGAAATGTCCGGCCCCAATTAATATTTAAGCCTTTTCCAGAGTTCATGTCTGAAAATGGCTCGAAGCAGGATTTTTCTCTCTGGTCCTCATGTTTATGTGTGGTATCTGGTTTGATATGAGGGAGGAATTACTGTCTTTGTAAAACATGCAAGCTGCAGAAATGAAAACACAATATACCAAAGAGTTTTCATAAATTCTTAAAGAATTGAGTGAGAGATTTCAGGACGGGAACAGCATACAAAAGGAACCAAGCACATTTGTTCAGCCGTTAGATAATAAACCAGCTGACGGCCCAACATGAAATAAGATGTAAAACAACCTTTCTCTGCTTGAACTCTCTAACGCTCTGTGTAGACAAGCGCTGGAGTTGGTTTCTCTGTTTGGGGCAATCTTCTGCTGTGAACTGTTCTTTTCAGCACAATGATCACCCTGAGTGTCTGCTGGGCGGTGTTCTGTACAGGTGATGTAAAGTGAGCTTATCAGAGCTTTACTGCTGAAAACAGCTGCCTGCTGCGGCTCAAAGGGGGAGGAGTGAATCAAAGCAGTGAAGCTGTCGTCGTAAAGAGAGAAACACAGAGCTGAGAGGAACCAAAACTGTGGATGAGACAGACTTTCACATTCTGAGACGATCAAAATCTTAAGCAGTGCACTCGTAAGCGGCAACATCTGGAAAAAAAGAAACACATGAGCAAGAAGAGAGGTGACACACTTTATAAAATACACATTATATAGATTTTATCCCAGTTTTCCCCGCTCACCCAACTGAGTTCAGATCAGCGAGCCAGCTTGTCAGATCGTCACTTTGGCAGAGACAGCTCGAGGCCCGAATCCCCGCCTGCTGCACGGCCATATTGCGAGAACAGATGGCTGAAAATATAATGAAATGAAAGAATAAATTCCTCCATGAAAACTGGAGTTCACTTTCCAATGCTGGACGTTATCCCTGAATTTCAGGAATTGCCAAATGACTGACTAATTGAGTTAGTCTGTGTTGCAAGTCTGTGTGTCTTTGGATAACGGAGCAAACAGTTTCAGCTTGACTCATCTGCAGCGTGAGTCAGTGGTTCCTGCACAGTTGCGTGAGAATCTCCAGTTTGTCCTTAAGACTCTGTGATAACACGATAAACCCAACAAGCTTTTTGGCTCATTCTCTTCAGGGCAAAGAGCACTCAGATGCAAAACATCCATATTTTGGCACTTTGTTAGGTTCTGCAGTAGAGTGAACAGGCTAAACAGCGTAGAACTACTAAAGTCATCATCAAATGAATTATAGGACGGCAACTTTCTATGTTTTCTATTGAATGATTTCCCCAGGAA